CTGGAACCAGTTGCCTCCCTTCTGCCCTCCCATTTGTTGTGTGGGAGGTGTTGCAGTCATCTACAGGCTTCTCCCTGTTTGAACTGTTGAATGGGAGACAACCGCAGCGGGATTCTGGACTTAATACAAGACATGTAGGATGAACAGACCACTGGGGCTGACAGTGTGGTACAATACATCCTCACCCTTCACAATAGGCTAGCAGCTATAGGCATCTTCAACAGGGAGAGTCCCCTATTCCCAGAGTGCCCAAGGAACAACCTATAATAAAGGGACCCTCCTCCAAATGTTCAGACCTGGAGACCAGGTACTCTCATTGTTCCCTAGCTTGAAGTCAAAACTGTTGTACCACTGGCAGAGCCCTTGCATGATTGTCTGCCAGGTAGGGACAATGAATTACGAAATCAGGCAGCTGGACAAAAGACAAACCAAATAAACCAACCATACCAATTTCCTAAAGCCATGGAAGGCCTATTTATAGCTCCCTTTTCTCTGGCATCAGAGTTAGGGTTGCAGACAGCCAATATCTCAGGATGGTCTGTACTGTGGGCAACCTCATACCAGAGCAGAGGGTCCAAGCCCAACAGTTGATCACTGCCTACCCAACGGTATTTTCCGCCCCATCTGGACAAATCCATCTCACATGGTGTCCTGGCTCAGTTTGGATGTGGCAGGAAGTAAGGGAAAAGCTGCGGCCACTTTCCCAGAAGATGAGCGAACCCATGAAGCAAAAATTACAATCTATGCTGGACCTTGAGAGAAACTTAGGAATCCCTAAGGCCCTTTTTTTCAGTTATTTATTTTATTTTTAATTTCCTGGAAATATATTGGGATTTATTAAAAGTTTAAAAACAGGAGAAAATTGGTATAAACGGAAAATGAAGGGTAGTAAGTGTGTGTGGAGGGGTGCCTGGTACTCACAGGGGCCAAGGGGGGGCACTCACCATGTGGCAGTTGAGGAAGCCTTCCGCCCTCTATTGGGCTTACTCCCCCCCTCCCCATGCAGAGGAAGCAAACGGGCATGCTGAAGGACCAGGGCCATGAGGGGAACAGAAAGCTGCAGCTGTAAGTGCTTGTCTCCCTGCCAGACAGAGCCTCCCTGGATCCCAGCCCTTCAGCACAGTCCCATGCTCTTTCCACTGCTGGCTTTGTCCAGCTGCAGTGGGGAAGCAAGATGGGCAAGGAGCCAGGTCCCGGCAGCTAAGACCACTCTTGTGCTGAAGGGCTGGGGTGGAGAGGGGACTCTGTCCAGCAAGGGAGCCAGTTCTCACAGAGTGCAGCCTTCTGCTCCCTATGGGCCTTTCTCTGCAACAGTCTCAGCTGTTAGGATCCAGCACCCTGCCCATCTCACTCCTGCACTACACAGAGTGAACGGACGGGGATCACGCTGTAGGGATGGAGTCAGGAGGGGAGTGAAATGCTTCAACCTGTGAGCACTGGCCCCATTGCCAGACAGAGCCACCTGCTCCCACTGCCAGCCTTCAGTATGGCTCCGTTCACTTCCTCTATGAAAAATGGCCAAAATCCAGGTTAAAACTGGTTAAACCCAAAATTGGCTTTTTCAAGGAAAAATCAGTAAATACCAGTAAAGAGGAACATTAGGAATCCTGTAGTGACTGAAGAAGTCCAATAGCATTGGTCCCTAAGCCAGACGAGACCACCTGATTTTGCTCTGATGTTAGAAGAGTCAATGCCATATCAAAAGTTGATGCATAATCCATGCCGTGTGTTCATGAGCTGCTAGACCAGCTGGGCCAAATATTACCACCCTGGATCTTACCAAAGGATACTGGCAAATTCCATTCATGCCAAAGTCTTGAGGAAAAATGGGCTTTGCCATCCTTTTGGCTTTATCAGTTCTAGACTATGCCATCTGGCTTACAAAAGGCTCCAGCAACTTTTCAATGGTTAATGGATCAAGTTCTCCAGCCCCACAGTAGTTGTGTCACCACCTACGTCAGTGATGTTGTGATCAATAGCTGGCACTGGGAGGATCACCTGACACAGATAACTGCTGTATTCCAGTGCCAGACTAATGGCAAACCCTGCCAAATGTGGCATACGCAAAGCTGAGACAACCTACCTGAGGTATACCTTGGTGAAGGGTATACAGCTTCAAGGACCTGCCCTACTATAACTTCAAAGAAGCAGGTGCACAGGTTTCTGGGAATGGCAGGATACTGCTGGTTTTTACTGGGACTCTTATCCATTGTGGCCTCCCTCACCAATCTGCTCAAAGACAATAGCTCAAAAAAGATCTACTGGCTTTCTCACAGGATGGAAGGCTCTGAGAAATCCTTTCAGATCCTAAATGCTAACCTCTGCAGAGAGTTCACCTCATACAGCCCAGATTTCAACAAGGAATTTCTTCTACAGACTGATTCCTCCAAAGTCGGGTTGGGAGCAGTCTTGTCGCAGGCAATCAACAGCAGGACGTAGAATCATAGAACTGAAAGGGATCTTGAGAGGTCATCTAGTCCAGTCCCCTGCACTCATGGCAGAATTAATTATCTAGTCCATTCCTGACAGGTGTTTGCCTAACCTGCTCTTAAAAGTCTCCAATGATGGAGATTTCACAACCTCCCTAGGCAATTTATTCCAGTGCTTAACTGCCCTGACAGTTAGGAAGTTTTTCCTAATGTCCAACCTAAACCTCATTGCTGCAATTTAAGCCCATTGCTTCTTGTCCAATCCTCAGAGGTTAAGAAAAACAATTTTTCTTCTTTCTCCTTGTAACAACCTTTTACATACTTGAAAACCTTTTACATACTTGAAAACATGTCCCCTCTCAGTCTTCTCTTTTCCTGACTAAACAAACCCAATTTTTTCAATCTTCCCTCATAGGTCATGTTTTCTAGACCTTTAATCATTTTTGTTGCTCTTCTCTGGACTCTCTCCAATTTGTCAACATCCTTCCTGAAATGTGGCACCCAGAACTGGACACAATACTCCAGTTGAGGCCTAAGCAAAGCGAAGAAGAGCGGAAGAATTACTTCTCATGTCTTGCCTACAATACTCCCTGCTATTTCTTATCCTATCCTCTACCTAAGCCAAAACCTGTTCCCAAGAGAAAAAGCCTACTCACCATGATAGTAAAGAAAAAGAGGGCTTAGTTGTGAAATGGGCCATAGAGGCACTCACATATTACCTCCTAGCAATAAGTTCATCTATTCACAGAAAGACACCAGCCCCTGACTCAGGAGATAGTACCTGTTTCTCCAGCCCTTCGCATTTCAGATCCAGCAGAGGGCTAGGACTGCTGACTGAAATGCAGACTTTTTGTTTCAGGATGGAGGGGAGCTGGTGAGGGTGGGGAGCTGGCAGGGGAGGGAAAGGTGTGTGAAGGGGAAGACAGGCCCCACCCTGGCAACGAGAAGTCTAAGGAGAGCCTATGGACCCAGCTGACCCCACCTCACTACACCTTTAGCCAATGTCAGGAGTGAAGGGGGGAGTGAAAAGGAGACCTAGTCCAGTTCAGGACTGACCAGTAAGGAGAGCAGGGCTCTGCTACTTCCTTGATGAGGTAAGCCTCATTCCAGCCCAGCACCTGAGGCAGCTTATTTTATGGGCGAATCATTTAGTGGATGGAATGATAGGCCCAGGAAGGCTGATAAAAAGGAGCTAGCTGCACAGAGACAAGCCTGGACCAGTACGGTGGAGTCCTGCTGACAAATCCACAGACAATCCTAATTTATAAATTCACTGTTTTCCTTTTTTTTGTTTTGGACTTTAACACCCCAGAAGGGGTAGGACTCAGGTGCAACAATAGCCAGAAGATTAAGGCAGCCCAGCACTGGATCTATGAGGGGCAACACCCAACTGTTGGGGACCCACAGTGGGGTGAGTTGTGCCCTGTTGGGTCACAAGGAGGTGCTGCTGAGACAAGTTGGTCACATCCCACCTTTATCAAACTCCTTGTTTTAACAATCCAAATCTCATGGGGACTATGGCCTTCACATAAACTCCCAACTTTCTTTTCAAATTTTTAAAATTAGCTACACTATCCTCATGACAGCTCAGGCAAAATAATGTTCTAAACATCTGAAACACATGCTTTTAATTCTAGCAATCTAATCAATTAACTACCCTAACACAGAATAAAGAATACCTGCTGCTTTTCAGAACACCAGCAATGGCATATCTCACAGGATTTTAATCTATATTAAAATGTGATAAATCTGAATCAGATCATCTGCTCCTATGATGAAATGTATGGCAGGGGATTTAGGAATAGGAAATCTTTGTGAGGCGCCCCTTACCACATGCCTCTGCGCAACAGACTGTGGGACCTGTCTAGAAAACCTGCAAATGCCCGTGGGAGGTTAGGGCCATCTATATTAAAGCCCTCTCCCTCCATGTCAGACTTGTGCCGCTTGTAGCCCCAGGCACTGGCAGGATGGATCCCCTATCAGGGAGATCCCCTCAATATTATTAATGGTGGTAGAATTATGCCCTTAACTATTACTGTTCAATACAATTAAGCAATCTTGTGATTAAGATGCACCATTGGTGATTTTATCAAAAGCAACTGACATTTTTTTAATCTATGGTTTACAAATACATTGTAATTAATGTGACTATTAGTGTAGCATGTTACTACTCAGAGTGAGTAAGAGTAGCTGAATTGGGCCTCAGGGTTTGGAATGTAATTTCTAAAATAAGCTACAGTTTAAATACAGTGGTTGGTAAACATCCAGACAATCACCTGGTTATGCAAATAAACCAAAGTTACATCTTCACCTAAAAGTTTCCATTCCATCATATCATAACTGTATGATTCTCTAACGTGGAACCACTTCTTTCAAAAAGTGAAGAGCCTGGGAGAGAAAATGCATTAGTTCTATTGCAACACTGAGAGGAGGACATGAACAAGTTAGTGGAAAGTTTGTTGGGTATATGTTCTGCTCATATCTCACAGCATTTATACCTCTGATTTAAAATACTACCTACTGCAACCATAGTAAAGTAGTAATAAATATACAGATGTTTTTATCTTTCAGATTTTTGCCATTTTCTTCATGTCATAAAAACCAGGAGTATGACCCATTAATTCATACATCAAGTAAATATGGCCAAATGACTTATGGAATCAAACATTTCCGAGAAGAACATCATGAGAAATGGGTAGCAAACAAGGTGAGTCACTGTAATATTCAGCAAAGTGATAGATTTCTAGATTGTTATTTTATTAAAATCAGAAAGCATTGGGCCTGGTCCAAAGTTCATTGAATTCAATGGGAACATTTCCAAGAACTCTGATGGGCATTGATTCAGGATTTCAAGTAGTATAATGGATTTAATCTTTAAAGGCCAGATTCTACAAGATACTGAGCTTTTTCAACTCTCTTTGAAGTCAATTGAGGATAAGGGCACTCAGCACCTCCCAGCCGGTGCTTCGCACTTTATGGAATATTGGGGGGAATATACCACATTACTTGCAGTATGTGCAAAAGATATCCTGTTTTATGTACTGCTTTTTCTGATCTGGTAGAAGAATAAATATGAAACACATAGTGAATACTACTGAAAATCTCAACAAAAAATGGAAATATTAACAAATGCTTTTCTTCTTCCATTTTCTGCTCAGTTTTAAAAATGAGCAAAGAGCTATAGTTTCCATAGATATTTTCATCATTCTCTAATTTGTCAAAAACCATCTCAAGTCTTTCTAATTCCTAACACGATAGGATGTGATGTTTCTCAAAACTTTTAACAGTATAATATAAGTTCAATGGAAGGAATTCAATACAGGATAGGATGTCAAAAGTTTAAAAGCTTCAGTCATGTAGAGCATCAGTCACAAAGCATGAAATGGAAAAAAGACAATTGAACAATTGCTTCTTGGCGGTTTTGTAAGTTCTTGTCAGTTTTGGGAAGCAAAGGATTCTGAATTTATGTAACCTCCCAGTGGACTTAGGTTAAAGTGGATGAAAGAAAACGAAGTTATCACACACCAATTCCTGCTAAACCAGGGCCTGATTCTGTCAATGGGACTTCTTTGTACCCTGAGTGAGGAGAATCGGTCTTCTGGACATTTACACAGTTTAGAGGGTCAGTGAGGATGCAATTAAAATGAATTAGAAAATGTTTTCTTTTTAAATGTTTTAACAGTATACAAACCATGTTCATATCAGCTCTTTAAATAGTGTCAGTGGTAACAGTATTAAGACATGTTTAATCACAGTTTTCAAGCATGTTTTCCCTGTAAGTGTACATCCAAGCCTACAAAATCTGTCTCCTATGTAAATATGTTGCTAAGTGTAAAGAACTCAGCATTTTTTTATTGCTTTTCTCCTCTACTCCAGCAAAGCTTCTCTAAAGAAAGAATCATATTCCTCTTTTGTCTACAGCTACAGTGATAATACTGTAGCTAGCTAGCCTTCAGTCCGTTAAGGATATGCTTGCTCTCTCTCCCCTGCCATCGCTCCAGTTTTAAAACAATAATCCTTACAAACATTTCAACTTGGTACTGAACATAAGGGAGAGAGTAAAAGGGAAAAACAAATTCTTGATTTTTTAAATAAGGTTCCTCACATCGATATTAGTTTTTGTGTTTTCCACCAGATGTCTGATTTGGAAATTAAGATCATTAATGAGCAAAAAGCAGTTCTTTTCCCAACTTTTACACTTTTACAGTCAGCAGATTAAGACTTTGGTATTTTAACATAATTATTTTTATTAAACTGCATTGCAGTTAAATGCACATAGGCCAATAATTGAACCTTCTTTTACCAAAAAAAAAAAAAAAAAAAGGTCTGGATTTAGTTAAAACAAAATGAGATACAAGTAGCATTGTTGAAGCCAGCAGGCATAGTGTAAGTAGGTGATAGAAAAGCTTTTCCAAACATTTTTTGCTGATATTTCTCAAGTCAGACCAGCAACAATTCTGCTTTTCCAATCCTGGGCATTTCTTGATAATATACATCATATAAGCTAGAAACTTAGCTGAGACCACCAAACTCATTTTTACTTGTGATCTTAGACAGTTTTCAACCTAAATCTCTAGAGGTGAACAGCTATATCCATTAACCCAATATGACATCTAGCCTTCCAACTACTGATTCTAAATCAATATGAAGCTTCAATTAGGAGGCACTTACAAAAACAGAGAGCTAATAGGAAAGAAGAGCAGCTTCTTGACCTACCTGCTGCTTTTACTGGTCATTATCATCAGGAAAGAGTCTAAAAACTCCATTCCTCACCACTTTTTTAGGGAGAGAGGCCCTATCAAAAAAGGCCCAAGATCAGATTTCCATAATCACTACCTTTAAAAGAGGAACTCTTTCTTTTTAATCACCACTTTAAGTGATCTACACATTTATTTCTTGGGTATATATTATGTTGTGCATAACTATACTGTACACAAGATAATCATATATGCAGGAAATGCTGTGGAAGACACTTAACAAAATGGAAAACACCTTCATGCTGTTGAAAGCCTAAGGATCTTTCATCTCAGAATCTATTACTCGTTCTTAGCACTTAATTGATTTTCCTACTTGGAATGTATCAAACTTTGTATATAAACACAATTTATATGACAATCTAAATAAAAGGATGATAGCCCTGCTAGGATGTGCATTCAGCCTATCACTGCAGCAGTGCACTGGAGAGGGAAAAATACTATTTTTCTTGAAATGTGATCACCAATGACAGGGCAAGCCTACAAATTGTTGTACCAAGTCCTCCCAAGAAATCACCTTGATGGTGAATGGCCTCTTCAAGTATTAACAGAAAATATGTTGAGCCTGTTCCAAATTATCTGTCAAAAAGCTAGCTTCCTTGTGTTTTATGGGTGCATCATATTTAATTATAAATTGCTCAGACTTATATACAGGTTTGTGTATACTGTTACTTTAAAAAAAATCACAAAAAGATTAGAATCTGACTATATAACTACTTGATATCCTATTGAGGAAAGAATAAACAATTAGGGTGAATATCGGTTCACTATATTTCCTCTTGAATAAACAAGATGGGGGTATAGCACATCCTTTCTCAGAACACCATAGCAGCTGTTAGTGACTGTGAGAACTTAATAGTTTTATTTCTACTTAGTAATGATCTCCAAACTGTTATCATACTCTATGATCATTTCAAAGACATCACCAAGTTAAGGGAAAAAATAATGTTGTATTTACATTTTTCGCTGAAAGCATACAAATAGGTAAAGAGAAATACTGCAACTGTTATGATAACTACTTGATTTTGGTTTCCACATTTGTAAAAACTGATAAATAATTTATGACTTCTTTTTTAACAGCACACTTCTAAAGCCTTATATTTTTTGTTTTCAGTTATTTTTTATTTTTATTTATTTATTTGCAAATGCTTTGAAATATCTTAGTCAGTATTTATATTAAGTATGCAGTTTTAGTATTAAGAACCTACCAATCACCATGAGTTTAATCTATAATGATAGGTCTCGTAGTTGGACAGTCTGGGAATCAATATACCAACTATAATTTTTTGGTGGTCAAAACACTCACATGTTCATATTTACTGAAGCAGAAATGCTATCCTACAGCTTTTAATCCGAATTGGAGTTAGTTTGCATATGCATTTTAGACAACTTACTTTAATGGCATCATTTAATGTTTTCCTTGTTCGGGAAATTCAGGAAGTGACATTTTAAGACGTTCCTTGTTGATAGAATCTTTCCTCATATGCCTTATTATAGGTGAATTACAACATGGCTGCAGCACTGTTTCATTATTTGCACATGCATTTTGGCCCTAAATACAATTTTATTATCTACAAAGCATAAAATATCCAAGTACTCCAAAGAATTAATTTAGAGAACCTAAGCATATTGCACAGAACATAAAGTTGACCTTTACCGTCTACAGCTTTTGGAATCGAGTGGGATGTGGAACACATCATAGACTTAATGTGGCACAACGCTGTCTGCAGAAACTTGGGTGGGACTGTGACTGCCTGCCCATTGCACCCGATGATTGAATCTGCTGTCACCAGCATCCTGATAATAATGAACATTCGGCTTAACGACCGTGATTATGATTATCATAATTGATGTGCAAGTGCAGTGTGTGAGGATCATTACAGCTGAACTGTACAGCAGAGAAACATGCCTTAGTTATAGATAATTTTACTTTTATGCATTGATTGGGATAAAATATGCCTTTCAAGTTCAACAGGCCAGCTTAATATAATTTTAGGAAGGTTTCTACATATATGAATTGATGATTATGAGCTTGCTGCAAAACAGCCACTCTAGCTGTTTGTTTTGAATGGTTTCATTCCATTAATAACAGCAAATAATTAAATAATTAGATATTTTCAAGGGGAAATATCTTATGAGTACAGCCTGCATTAATCAAATATCAAATTAAAAGTGTTTCTGATTGCTCTGGCATTGCCTCTGTATGCTAGGAAAAAACAGGATATGTAATTCACCACCAGTACAGCTCCACTGACAGTTGCAGCACTGGAAGCTGTATTGTGGACAGGACACAGGCATTTTTATCACTGTGTTGTGTAACCTGCAGAGCATGTGGTAAATATTCCTGTGCATTGTATACACTACAGCTTCCATCATTTTTGCCATTGGTGTAGAGCTACAGATCCAGATTTTGCCAGGGTAGATACAGTCATTAACAATTCATCAGAGACAAGATCCTTTTTTTTATTTTCCATGATAATGATTGCATTCACCTGAGCTTGTAAAGAAATGCACAAGTATGTGAACAAAAGCATACACTAACTAAATATATATACACACACATATATACATACATATATATGCATATACATACCCAAATAAAAGTGTATTTGTACTGCCGATGTGAGTTTGTATAATGTGTATACATGTGTATGTATATGGTAGTGTATGTAATGACACTTGTTTATACCAGGACTACATTTGGTTTTTAAAAGCAAATTCTTTGCCCAAATATCCTGGCCTTTTTACTAGGCACAGCACCACTCTGTAGAACAAACTCTTGAGCATGGATTGGATTGCCACAGAAAAGTTTGCAGGAGGGGACTCAGGAAGAAAATCACTTGGAGCATCCCCGTTGCGGAGTTCCTCGTGCATTGATCCAGTGAACTGGGATTTGTTCTCTTTAACAACAAACTGCTGGGCATGCAACCCTATGGATTCACAAAACACCAGG